CTCGCTACGAAAAAAAAAAAAAAAAAAAAAAAGAGAGAGAGAGAGAGAGAAGAAAAGAGAAAGAAAGAAACTTAAAGAATAGTCAGTGACTCAATAAATTCAGAGTTTTATAATTAGAAGGACTTTGGGAATCAACTGGTATAGCATCTCTCATGGAGAGATCTACCACCCTCTTACCAAAATGATTGTGTATGTGTGTAAGGGTAGGGAGCAGGACCATGATGCTGGATGACTTACAATAATAGGAATGCCCCATACAACAAAGAATTATCCCAAATCTGACACCCCTGTGTCAGCTGTATTTGCAGCAGTTACATTCACAATGAGTCCATGTCTACATGCAAATATACTTATTGAGCTCTTACTCAATGTGTCGAATATAAAGAAACAGTGCCCACAATATCCAGCTGACTATTGTGTTACTTTGTATGAGTGAAAAGTGATTCATTATAAGTGGGTGTGAACATCTGGGTACTCTATTAGGCCTTCCATTTTAGTTATTCCTGAATTTCTTGTATTCACTATATTGAAATTTCGTTTCTAGTAGGCTTTATCATGTCTGAACATCATTGTAGGGGTTTCTATTTTAAAAAATGGGGAATTGGGTCAAGTAATATTGACAATCACGACCTAGTAGATACAGATAGAAAACTGGACACTAGAGAAGAAGTGGTGTACCTCAGGCCCACCAGTGAACTAAGAGGTAGTAGCCTTTTATGTATATAAATTCATACACAGCTGTAGCACAAATGATTAGCATTGTAAGTTTCAACACCCTGGAAGATTCTGTTCTATCACATCATAAAAACAAAAAACAAAAAACAAACAAACAAAAAACAACGGAGTTAAAATCATTTGGACAACTCATTCTGAAGGAAAACATTTCCCCACTCAATATATACTGAATGTCTGTACTCTAGGCAGAAACCAAAAGAGTGGAAGATACAAAAGCATGGAGAACAATTGTGGATACTAGAGACAGCACAGGAGAAGGATGGAAAATGAGAGAGGGTGAAAGGAAGGAAATCAAGTGGAAAAAAAAAAAGAAACAAGATATTAAAGGGATACAAAAATGGAAAATTATCTGTTGATGATAATGTGTATGCTTATCTCTTTAACTGGACTAAAACATAGTGTGTCCATGCCGAGAAAATTCATTTTGCATGCTGTAATGATATATAGTGATTGAATATAAAAAAAGTATTTAAAAAAGAATTAAGAAAAAGAAAAAAACATTTAATAACATTTCCTTTTGCCACCAGTTATCTCTCTCATAAGGGATTCCCATGAAGGTGTCTGTGAAGAATATTTTCTTAAACTGGAATTTCCATTTTCCTGATGATTATCATACCCTTCCCCTTTACTTAAGAAAAAAAGCTCTCTGACTTTTGTAGAGCTTCTGTGAGCATTTATTCTTCGGCCCCGCCACATTCCCTCTTGCCTCCACTATGGCCTCAGGAATTCTGTCTGAACCCGTGCAGGTAACAGAACCGCCTTTTGCTTCCTTCCACCAATATCAACAGTAGCAATAGCTGTCCCAGTGAGCCTCCTTGGCATTCTTCCTTCTATGTCTTCCTAAGGAACTTAACTCGAGAATTACTGACCTGTCACCCCGCGAAGTGCCTTTGAAGGTTCCTCAAGAATGGAGATCTTCTTCTCACGAGGGGTGAGGGCTGGCTTCTCATTGGCAGAGTCGGTGGACGAGCTGTCCTTGTCACAGCCATTCACATGGCCGTTTTGTATCTGTGCTGGTGGTGGTGGCAAGGGCCCTGTCTCAGGCCTCTCCGCCTTGTCTTTAGCATCTTTGTTACCTTGATGCTGCTTGGACTTGCTTCTTTTTCTCTTATTGTTCTAGAATGAGAAACAGATGAGAAAACATCATGTAGCTCAGATCCTTGAATTGTAAGGTGAGTCTGAGAGATGAAACTAGGCACTATTTTCTTTTTTGGTTCATAGCTATTCTGATAGGATGGGTGAAAATGCCTACTTCTTTATTAACCACCCAAATTAATTTAAATATCATCTTTTTTCTTTTTAGAGGTTTTTGCTATAGGGTGCATGCGCTCACCAGAAAGACAGAGAGAAACAGAGAGAGAGAAAGCTAGAAATCACCCCGCTGGGGGGATAGCCACATCGCAATCCCTTCTTCTCCATTCTCTTCTCAGGATCTTGGGCACGCATGCACAGGCCCAGCGTGAATTTAAGCCACCGGGTCTGGGACTTGAATCGCAGTCGACTACATGGAAGTCCAGTGACACAGCCATTATTCCAACTGCTGGTCCCTAATTTAAACAACTTCTTTCTTAAAATAAATTATATAAGCTTTTACCTGATAAACACCATAAACAGAAAGTTTCCATTAAAAGAAAAACAGCAAGGAAAGGTTTAAAGAACTAATGTATGAGCAATTTGAGATCCCACCTTATATGAACAATAATAACAAGAGGACATCAACAAGTTTGTGGAAAAATAGAATTAAAGTATGAGCTTATTTTGGTGCAAATATTTTGAAATATATGCACAGTTTTTTCATTATACATATTTTCCATGAACTATTTGATGATTCCTCATATAGTAAAATCTTGTGATACCTGCTTGAAATAACCTGAATTCAGTTATTACTCTCATTTGTTTTTAAGTTTATTTATTTCTTCAGAGAGAGAGAGAGAGCACAATCCTCACACGGTTTTGATGCCTGACCCAACCCTAGCCTCCAGCAAGTCCTGGATCACGGGCAAGCACATGGCTGCCATATTCAGGAAGGTCCCCGGACTCAAACTCTGAAGCTTCCATGTGGGTCAGCCTTGCACAGTGTTGCAGTTTACTGTGGCACTGCCATCTATCCTCTGGCTTTCCTTTCTTAAAGTGGTGATGAGTGGCCTTTCCTGGTAGTGCAGTTGGTAGCTACAGTGCTGGGAGCACATGGCCATCTGTGGGTTTGAATCCTTGGGTCGGCTTGAAAACACACTGGGTGCGTGCATATATCTTAAGATCCTGATGAGCTGGAAGTCTGTGGAAAGGGGATTGTAGTGGGATGAGACCCTGTCGAGGGGGTTTCTCTCTCTCATTCACTCTCACGTGCATGCCTGTGCTCTCTATCAAGAATAAAACAAACAAACAAACAAAAAGTGAAACTGGGGCTGGCAGAGGTAAGGACACTAAGGTTCCCATTCTCTGGGGAGGAAGGGAGCTAGAGGGGAGGACTGCCAGGAAAAAGGAAGGCAACTCTTTTTTGCAAAATGAAGATGTAAAAGATAGTCCCCAAAGTCCAGTTTGGATCTCTGAAATAGGCACCAACCGATGAAAACATTCTAGAACTGCTGCCCCTGTTCAGGATGTCCCAGGCAGCCAGAGGATCCAGAGCATCCCCACGAATACTGGAGCAGACAACTGCTATCAGCAATGCCAAACTCATCTGTATCCACCTGAATTTGGATCGTGAAGCTAGACTGGACCCCTGGACTCCTCAGGTTCTAGCTGAACAGCATTACAGGGCTTCATTTAACTTACTTCAAAATAATATGACCTAGCAGTTTAGACAACTGAAATGTTTTAGATCACACTATAGCAGGATTTTACTCTTTCTCCTAAAATGCTGTAATGGTGAATATATACTGACACCTAGGGAATTTAGATGTTGTTCCTAACTATGTTGTATGCATTCGTTGACTTTGGTTTTATAACCAGGTGACTTTGGTTTCGTGGCCAATTGATAGTCAATGTACTTAACAATCAGTTTGGAAGAGGCGCCAGCCAATTGGGACAGATGCCTGACCAATCAGGAAGACCCTGTGCCACCGGTTACACCCGTGTGGTTATATACTAGCTGAACAAACATCAGCCTGGCTTTGTTCTTCAACACGTTTAGAAAAGAAATAAAAAGAGACTGTTTCTTCTTAATTCTTCTTCTCATTCTTTTTTATTTCTTTTCTTCTTCTTTTTTTTTTTTTTTAAATTAAGTTCATTCATTTATCTCATCCATGGGGTGGGGGAAACCCTCAACAGGGTCCTTACAACGCAACTGATCTGCGGCCTCAGCCAATCCAAATCAAGGGTATGCACAGGCACCTGGTGTATACAGGGAGGCTCCAGGACATGAACCAGGGACTTTTCCATGTGGGTCTAGTTGCATTACTGCTGCACCACTGCCTGGCCCCTCCACTCCACCTCTTTTCTTTTGAAGACACACCATGCCCCAGTAAGTGCTCCTCTAGGTGAGAGATGTGCATCTTTAGGGTGAAGGAAAAGGCCAACAGATTCCATTCCTCCACCACACCCTCAGCAGCTTCCAGTTTCATTTTCTTACAAAACTGCTGGGAGGAAGACTCAGTAACGAGTTAAGTCTGCAGCTGCTGTCTGCTCTGTTCCGCACCAGAAAAATTTATACCCAAACCCACATCTGAAATTTTTCCATGTAAGTATAAATACTGCCTTTCAATCACTTGCAAATCATCTTCCTCTCACACAGAAGCCTGGAAAGCTATGATTAAAGATAAGCAGAGACTGTCAAAGATGGTGGCACACAAAGGTTTTTTAAAAACCTCCTAATTCTTCCCATTCTACACGAAACTGAGAGGAGAAAAGTGGGGAAAGGATTCTAGCAATTTCAGTAATCTTGGCATTTTATGAAAGCAATGCTGTTTATCTGTTTGTTCAAAACCTGTTCCAGAGGCTTGTGATCTTCCCTCATGGGAAAGGGTGGACTGGTGGGCCATGTCCTGGGAGAACCAAAACACTGGCCTTGCTGTGCATGTGGCAGTGACAATGGGTGGGGCAGTTACTTTGACAAGAACAACAGACTGGTGCTGGTGTATGCCCAGACGCCACGGACTCTGTGACTAGACAAGGAAACAACATAATTGGAATAGGACAGAGTCAAATCTCCTCCCCTCTGTTCTCAAAGAGCAGTATACCACTGTTCAAGAAGTCCCATTCTTATGATGGTTTTAAGGTATTTTCTTTTCTTTTTCTTTCATTAAAAATTTACCTTAGAATTCAGTTAAGTATCTCAGAGAAATCTCAGAGTTGGTTGGAGAAACATGTGAAAATACATTTAGAGCTTTGCAAGGACTTTTAAGACACTGCTAATTTTTTCCTTTGTGGTAAGGATATGTTCAGGCAAGTTTATGGCTTAAATCCTTTGAATTCTCCAGTTGGGTTCCTCTTAACACTTAAAAAGAAAAACAACTTTAGGGCTTCTTAAGGACACCTGGTAGCTAAAAAACTGAACAGAAAATAAGAGCATTAACAGAGAGAGAGATTGGTAATTTAAGAGTCGTGCATTTAAAGCTTCCTGGGTATTATACATTAACATATTTGAAAGAAGCAGAAAATTGGCAGCCTTGTTGAAATGATAACAGCCATGAAGGTTTTGATTGAAGACGTTACTAATTTACAATCAATATTAATCTTACCTTCTTTTTTCCTGTCATATTCCATTCTTTTAGAACTTGAACTGCACTGCCTAGATAAAGACAAAGAATGTTCAACAAATATTCACATAATAAAACACCACATGAATTCATCTCTGTCGTTCCATCTTGGCAGCAATTTCTTTTTCTTTTTCATTTGTTTTGATATACCCTACTTTAATAAAAATGCCAGTTTCGTTTTTTATTTCCCATATTTTCATTTAATTCACTGCATGATCTTGGTTTTATCAAAATATTAAGCCCCACTACATGAAGCTTACTTTTTTTATCATCATATTGTCTTAGGGAAAATGAAATTTATCTTGAGAATTTTCTGATAGCTTCATTGCCACAGGTAGAATTAAAATTGTTCTGTTTGATATATGAATAAAAATACCTATAATCTCCTGAACCAAACATGGGATTCTGAATATTATTAACCCTGTGAATCATAGCTTTCTGTTTACCCATTCCTTCTTCTTCCTTTTTTTTTTCCCTGTCCCTACTCATCATGCTCAAAACCTGCAGGGGAAAAAGGAAGGCAGATTATATTATGTTAGTTTGTCTCTAGTTACCTTAGAGAGGAATGGGATGTGGTCTTTAACAAGCTTTCAACTTTGAAACCAAAGTTCATTAAATGACAAGTTGAGTTTCAAGTTCTGTCATCCCATTCAACTACATATATGGAACTATACTGATTCAGGGGAAAAGTCAAACGTGTTGAAGTTATAAAACATTTTTAAAGAAACGTTTTATCACTTGTCAGCTACAACCAATGTTTCCATGTGGTCTAACAACATTCTTTCATTTATTCTAATTGTGCTGGAGGTAATTTCAATAACAAGTTATTCATAATGAGCATATCAATTGTCATATAAATACGTATTTATAAAAGAGGGGAGCTCTTAAATGTATTCTTTTAACAATTTCAAACATTCTCATACCATCTTATTCTAACAGTTCTCTGTTATGAGTGTGCTGGCCAAAGAAAGACAAACTTTAGTCTGGTCTTTACACCAAATTTCAAATGAGTAGAGTCCCAATTATTGAGTTTGCTGTCACTATTCGATAAACAGAAGGCCATATTGCTTTGCCTAATGTTTAGTCAGGCTAATTACTCCTATCTTAATGCCACTCTTAGACCTGTCTGAGTTGATTGTACTTGAAATAAGATTGCACTTAAAAGTAAGCTGTAATTCAGAGTTCTTATTAACTGGGCTGGTCTTTCTCTAATTTACCCAGAGAATTAATGTTTCACAACATTTTTTTTGGAAGACCTTTAGAAAGTCACTTTCATTAGGTTTCTTGGTAGGTCACGCAAGTGGTTAACTATCATTAGGGTTGTTTTCACTTATATGTAAGGTTTAGTTTTCACAATAAAATAAAAATTTTAACAATGTTAAATACCATTCTTTTTAATCAGAGGGAGGAGGTAAGTTGCTTACTGCTTTTGCAACTGAAGTATTCAATTAGTATTCTCCTTTTTTTCATATTTTGAGTTAACTTTTTCTTTTTTTTAATTTGGACAATGAGCTTTTAGAGAGTAATCCTAAAGAAGAAATGCTCATATATACAAAGGAGTTTGAAACTGTTATTATTAAATTTTAATTATACTGAAGCTGCTTGGAGTTTTTAAAGCCATTTCAAAATAGTGCTTTCAATATGCCTCATAAATGACTCATAACAAATATTTTTGACTCTCAGTGAGTTTTAAACAGGTTTTGCTATTGGTTCACAACCAAAATGATATGAGGTTTCTCAGCCATCAGTGAGTTTTATTAATGAAATCTCAACACTGGCAAGTTAAAAATTTCAAGAAGGACAAGCAAGGTGCTCTATTTAAAAGCAAACAGATTTGGTGACAGTCTATTAGTTACTGTGCATCTGTGTATCTCATCAGGGCCACTCTAATAAAAACTTCCATGACGAGAAATGTGGGGCCCTCAATCCAAGTGGGAAGGAAGGAGGATAATAACCCTTTTCTTTTCCTAAAGTTCTTTTCCAGGCAAGTGAAACCTAAAAAAGAATTTATCTGAGCTAGGATATGCATATTTCCAAAAGTTTTTTGAGATAAACTGCACCTAATGCTGCAAAGTCAAATTAATATCTCATTTTCTACGATTTGTTTTTATAGATTCTTATTATATAATTCTTTCTTTCTCAATTTTTTTTTTTTTAGGTTTTGGCCATAAACTGTGTGCATATCTCATTTTCTACGATTTGTTTTTATAGATTCTTATTATATAATTCTTTCTTTCTCAATTTTTTTTTCTTTTTAGGTTTTGGTCATAAACTGTGTGCACTTACCAGAGAGAGAGAGAGAGAGAGAGAGAGAGAGAGAGAAAGAGAGAAATCACCCCTAATGAGGGATGGCCACCTCATAATTCTTTCTCTTCCATTCTCCTCTCAGGATTTTGGGCACATATGTACATGTGCCTGGCATTTTTTTCAAGGCACTGGGTCTGGGACTAAAACCATGACTGGCTATGTGGGAGTCCAGTGCCTTAACCACCATGTCACTTGCTGGCTCCTGTGTTATATAATTCTAAAGATTCTGTATCTGTTAGTATATAGAACATGGGAAAACAGTGAGAACTATACATGGTGGATTTATTAGTGAGTCTGTTTTGAGTGATAATCACTTGTTAATTCAGTGAAGACCTTAAATCTTAGCTACAGATACCAGAATGTGAGTTTGTGGCTTGGTTTCCAGACCTTGCCCTGAAATGCAATTATACAGTACAAACTCAAGAAAGTTATTCTACTCTGCTCCATATTTACAAAATAGAAACTAATACCAGCACAGAAGACATATGATAAGACAGGCAAGCGATATGTGTTCCAAACTGGAACTTGTTTAATCTGATTAGGAGAGGAGAATTTCTCCATAATTTATAGAAAATTTAAAAGACTGAATTATAAATTTATAGAATAAATATATTTTTGAGACTTCAGATTCTAAAACATCGTTGGCAATGGACTGTCTAAAAAACAATATTATTATAAAGCAAAAAGATTATAGAATTAGATAAACTGAATTGATTTCTAATTAGATCATCTAAAAATCATAACTAGGTTTATTAAAGAATAAGTTGGAGGACCAGCAGGTGACATGGTGGTTTAGACACTGGATTCCTACATGGCTGACTATAGTTCAAGTCCCAGATCTGGCAGTTTGAAAATTCACACCAGTCTGTGTGTGTGCCTGCCCAAAATTCTGAGAGGAAAATGGAGAAGGGTTTATAGTGTGGCCATCCCACGGGGTGAGGGATGTGATTTCTCACTTTCCTTCTCTCTGACCCTCTCCAGTGAGCTCATGAGCCCTATAATAAAAACAAAAACAAACAAACAATGGGGTCGGCAGGTGACTTGGTAGTTAAGGACGCTGGACTCCCATATGGCTGACCACAGTTTGAGTCCTGAACCTAGTAGCTTGCTGTTGTATTCTCTCTCTCTCTCTCTCTCGCTTTCTCTCATTTTTTCACTCTGTCTCTCTCTGGTCAAATTAAAAATAAATAAAGTTAAATAACTCTTTAAAAACAAACAAACAGGGAACCAGCAGTTAGCGTAATGGCTATGTCGCTGGACTCCCACGTAGTCGATTGCGGTTCGCGTCCCGGACCCGGTGGCTTAAAACTCACGTCGGGCACGTGTGCGTGCATGCCCAAGATCCCGAGAGGAGAATGGAGGAGAAGGGATTGCGGCGTGATCATCCCCCCTGGGGGGGGATTTCTCGCTTTCTGTCTCTATGTCTGTCTCTGTCTGTCTGGCGAGCGCACACGCCCTATAGTGAAAAACCTCTCCAAAAAAAAAACCCCAAAAAAACAAAAACAAAAACAAAAAACCAAAAGAATAAACCAATCTTCTTAGACCATGTAAGTACCAAGTTGAAGGATTCATCACAAAACCTGCTAGAATTACTGCTGGCCAAGAGTGAAGAAGGCTTTCCAGGTAGGAATGAAGTATGCTATCCTCCATTCACAAGGATGCCATCAAATAAAAATATATTTAACAACAAATGAGAATGAGAAGGAAAGTAGTTGCATTGTAAGTGATATCCTCTGGAAACTACCCAGTCTTCTATAGTATTTTTTTATTTTATTGAAATTTTTTTAGAGGTTTTTGCCCTAGGGCACATGCATTTGCCAGGGAGAGAGAAAGAGAGACAAAGAGAGGGAAAGTAAGAGATCACCCCCCTGAGGGGATGGCAACATCACAATCCCTTTTTCTCCAGTCTCCTTCTAAGATCTTGGGCACACATGCACACATTCTCAGCACGAGTTTCAAGCCACGGAGTCTGGGATTTGAGCCACGTTAGCTATGTGGGAGTCCAGAGATGTAACCGCTATGCCATCTGTTGGACCCCAGTATACATATTTTTTAAATAAGGGAAAAAGAACTTCCAAATCCTGCTCTTATTGGGTTTGCCTATGTGTTTTTAAGGTCTAGCATATTTTTACAAGTACGAAAGTATTAGTAACTAATTTCGAATTCATTCAAGGAAAAAAGTATAGAATATACAACATATTTAGTTCTAACATCTTCAGCACCAGAAGACATGAATACGTACCATCCACGAAGGCTTGCACGGCTTTATCCACATTAAAATCAAACTGTTGTAGCACCAGGACTATTTCATTATTGCTTTTATTAGGGACAACTGATCTAACTGCATAGATCTGTAAAGGAGAAAAGAAAACACTTTAAATATTTTTCATCTATGACTCTTCCACTGGAGAGAGTTATAACTATTAGAAGGGCCTTGACAAGCCAACTAATCTATCCTTTTGCCATCAAGCATACTCAAGGCATTTCAGACCAGTGAAAATTCATCATGTAATCACCTTGATACCTACTTCTTCGTGTACACACTTCAACAAGGATCTCCTTGTTAGGACTGGAGGAACCAGTGTGCAAAGCCAGCTCTAACTTTACAGTCTGTTCTCCCCTAAGACTACAGATGCACGTAAGATGTGCTTCAGTGAGGACACAGGATCTTTTTTCTGTCTTGAATTTCCTCTCCACTGGCTCAGGGAGGTGGGTACCTTTTGAAAACGTACAGAAATAGCCTCAGCTTTTCTATCTGCGCAGTGCAAACAGTCATCTTAAGGGGTAAGAAGTATGCTGTAAAACTTCTCTAATGTTATGAAGATATGAAAGTGTGGGGCACTGTATTTTTGAACTGGTACTCTTAGCCTGACCCCAAAAGGTTCTCAAACACACCTCTAAAAATCAAACATGTAAGGGGCCAGCAGGTGGCTTGGTGGTTAAGGGCGCTAGACTCCCATGTGGCTGATCACGGTTTGAGTCCCAGATCTGGTGGCTTGCTTTCTCACTTTCTCTCTCTCTCACTTTGTCTTTCTCTAGTCAAATTAAAAATAAATAAATAAGGACCAGCAGTTTGTGTAATGGCTATGTCGCTAGACTCCCATGTAGTCGACCGCAGTTCGAGTCCCGGACCTGGTGGAGTAAATTCACGATGGGCGCATGTGTGTGTGTGCCCAAGATCCCAAGAGGAGAGTGGAAGAGAAGGGACGGCGGTGTGGCCATCCCCCCTGGGGGGTGATTTCTCACTTTCTGTCTCTCTGTCGTGTGCACACGCCCTATAGCAAAAACCTCTCAAAAACAAACAAATAAAAACGAATAAAATCAAATAAATAAAAAAAAGAAAGTCAAACATTTAAACAATAAAAGTAAATACATATACACACTAAGGATTTCAATAGGTTAAAGCTTATATTCAATGTTTAATGACCTATTTGCATTTTTTTTATTATCATCATAATCTTCTTTATATTACATTGGATTACATATAACTTTACATTGACTTCCATTGCTTTTTCAAAAGGGAATGCCATGCATGTCAGTCAATACAGAGGCATCGATCTCCCCGCTTTATCATTCAAAGTCTTTTCCATGCATTTCCCAATAATTATTATTATTATAATTTTTTAAAACAGTCAATCACTATTTCTCATTTTGCTTGTTAAAAGACTTCACCCATCATGAAATACTTCCCAGACCAGTCCAGTTGAGAATACTATACACGTCATCTTCAACAGATAATAAACCATATCTGTTTCTCACTAACATCCCCTCTATTGTTCACTTGCTATCTTTCTCTATCCTCTTCTCTTTTTTTTTT